AAAAATAATATTAAAAAATTAATTTTCTAAAAAAAGAATGTTGAGCCCAGCACAGTGGTGCATGCCTGTGATCCCAGCAGGAGGCTGATGCAGGGGGATCACAAGTTCAAAGCCAGCCTCAACAACTTAGCAAGGTCCTAAGCAACTCAGCGAGCCCTTTTCTCTAAATAAAATACAAAAAGGGCTGGGGATGTGGCTCAGTGGTTAAACACCCCTGGATTCATTCCCTGGTACCAATAAATAAATAAAGAGTTATCAGAGATGTGGCTTAGTGGTAGAGAGATTAATTAGCATGTATGAGACCCTGGGTTCAATTCCTAGTACTGCCAAAAAAAAAAAAAAATCTGTGTAGCATGTGAATGTATATGTGTGTATCGGGGGATACTGAAGATTGAACCCAGGACCTCAAACATTCTAGGCCAAGTGCTGTACTACTGAGCCATATCCACAGCCCAAGGGTATAGCATATATTTTTAAAGTTATTCAGAAAGAATCAATAAATAAGTTTCACCATTAAAAGTGTGTAATTCACTGTTTTTTAGTAAATTCATAAGGTTGAACAACCATCACTATTTAATTGCACAACATTATCATCACAAAAGAAGTAAACCCCATACTGACCCTTCAGCAGTCATTCTCCAGTCTTCTACTACCAGGCACAGGCAATCACTAATCTATTTTGTGTCTCCATGATTTTTCCTATTTTGAAAATTTAATATAAATAGAATCATGCGATATATGGTCACAGGTGTCATCCATGTTGTAGCATATATGAGTACTTCATTCTTCATTATATTTTGTGGTGAAAAATATTTCATTGTATAGATAATACCTTAATTTTTTTTTATTCTGCAATTCCCACTACTGACACCAGCAGTGTGTAAGAGTTCCAGTTCTCCACATCTTTGCTAACATTTGTTATTGTCTGTCCTCTTTTTTATAGCCATTCTATCAGTTCAATAATAAAAGACAACCTAACTAAAAAAGGTCAAAGGAGATGAACAAACTACTGCCACGAACAAATGCTCTATATCTCAGCTTCCTATGTCTGGGATTACAGGAATATACCTTTATTCTTAGCTTGTTGCTTATACTTTTGATGTTGTATTTAACCATTGCATATTTTCTGCTCCATAGCCATTGATGTTGAATATCTTTATATGTGTGTGTGTATTTTCCAGATTTATGATTTTGAAATATTTTCTCTCATTCTGTAGGTTGTTTTTCATTTTCTTGTTGGTATCCTTAGAAGTACAATGTACAAAGTGTTTAATTTTGATGAAGTCCAATTTTTCCTTTTCTTGCTTATGATTTTTTAGGGTGGGGAATACTGGAGATTGAACCCAAGGGCACTTTACAACTGAGCTATATCCCCAGCACTTTTTGAGTTGCCAACACTAGCCTCATGTCCCAGAAAGATCCTTCAGGCTGCTTCCCATTCAGTATCCACCCACAAGTTATATTCTGGCTTCTATAACCATAAATTAATTATCCCTATTACCATAGTCTGGTTCATCATTTTAATGAATTTTGCTTTCTGTATCTATGAGATTCATCCATGTTGTTCGTGGCAGTAGTTCTTTTTTATTCTATGTTGTATTTTAATATACCAGAATTTATTCATTTACCTGATGATGGACATTTGAATTGTTTCCAGTTTGGGGTTATTATAAATAATGGTGTTATGAATATTCATGTGCATTTCTTTGGCAGAGATATGTACTGGTTTCTAATAACCAGGAGTAGAATTGATGAATACAACTGCCCCCCCCCCTCTCTTTTCAGTAGTGGGAATTGCAGACTCAGGGGCATTCTTCCACTGAGCTACATCCCCAGCCCTTTTTATTTTTATTTTTTTTTATTTTGAGTCAGGAACTCACTAAGTTGCCAAAGCTAGCCTTGAACTTGAAATCTGTCTGCCTATAAATTGATTATAGGCATGTATCTCTGTGTCCAGCTGCAGTTCTCCTCCCTAAGGATTGCCCTATATATGCTGTATTCTACTTTGAGTATTAGAACAGTGAATTTCCATTTACTTTCTTGTCTTATGTAATCTAACCCCCTTAGATAGAAACTAACTCTGACACCTAGCAAACAGACATTTGATGTCACAGACTGGGACTTCCCCAATTTTCCATGACTTTTTAAAAAAACATTGGTAATGACTCAGCAATAATATCACTTTTTAAGTACCTTTGGTTAATTTGTACAACTGATTTGAAAAATATTCAGCTTTGCAAAACACTTTTCTTACCTGTTTGCCTTCTTTTACACTGTTGTATTTTAATATTTTGTTTTTGTTTTGTCATGCTAGGGATGGAACCCAGGGCCTCACTGATGCTAGGCAAGCACTCTACCATTGAACTACATTCCCGGCCTTATCACTGTCCTCTTTTTTTGGAACCTGGGATTGAACCCAGGAGCACTTAACCACTGAGCCACATCCCCAGTCCTTTTTTTGTATTTTATTTTGAGCACTGCATTGCTTAGGGCCTCGCTAAATTTCTGAGGCTAGCTTTGAACTTTCAATCCTCCTGCCTCAGCCTCCCGAGCCTCTGGGATGACAGGCATGTTCCACTGCTCCTGCCTCCTATCACTGTCTTTAAAATCCTCAACTTGAATAATCCATAGTGTTAAAAAATACATACTTACTGCATTTACAGTTAATTTTTTAATAAGATTCTGAAAGTGATCCTTCAGTGCCTGAATATTTCAGAAAAATTTTCCTTCCAAAGCAGCTTTGGTTTAATGGTTTGGAGTTGTTGGTTTGTTTTATTTTTTGCTTGCTGTTTAATTTTTTTTAATTATTATTATTATTTTTGGTACCGGGGATTGAACTCAGAGTGCTCAGTCACTGAGCACATCCCCAGCCCTATATCTGTATTTTATTTAGAGATAGGGTCTCACTGAGTTGCTTAGCACCTCGCTGTTGCTGAGGCTGGCTTTGAACTCATGATCCTCCTACCTCAGCCTCCCAAACCTGGGATTACAGGTGTGTGCCACTGCACCTGGTTGCTTGCTGTTCAGTTTTTTAAACTAATTTACTATTGGGTTGTTTTAATAATATTTATTTTGGGAGCTGGGGATATAGCTCAGTTGGTAGAGTGCCTCACATGCACAAGGCCCTAGGTTCAATCCCCAGCACCACAAAAAAACAATAATAATTCAAAAAATAATAATTATTATTTTAATTCTATTATTTTACCTCCCAATTTTCATTTCAGATGATACCATCTTCCAGAATTCTATGGTACAAGAAGCCATACGAATGGGATTCAGTTTCAGGGACATTAAGAAAATAATGGAGGAAAAAATTCAGACGTCTGGGAGCAACTATATATCACTTGAGGTTCTGATTGCAGATCTAGTGAGTGCTCAGAAAGAAAATACACAAGATGAATCAAGTCAAATGTCATTGCAGAAAGGTATGAATGGCTGTTTTAAAAAAGCAAGAAAAACCTAACCATAAGTTTTGTTTAGTATCTCATATGATTCTAGCTCATTCACCACCACCCCCCCACACAACCCCTTTAGCATAGGGGACCACTGTGGATTTAACCCAGGGGCAATTTACCGCTGAGCTACATCCCTAGCTCTCTTTTATTTTGAGACAGGGTTTCACTAAGTTGCTTAAAACCTCGCTAAGTTAATCTCTTATTATGAAAAATTTCAAATATACCAAAAGTGAAGATAACAGTGTAATGAACCTTCATGTATCCATCACCACTTTTCCAATTTTGTTGCATATTTTCCACAACTTTTTTTTTTGCTACAGTACTTCAAAGTAAATGCCAGACAGCCTATATATCATGATCTATAAATACTTCAATATATATCCAACAGATAAGGATGGTTTTTAAATGTAACTTTTACTGTGTCTATTAGTTGGCTTAGTCTCCTGTAACAAAATATCACAGAGTGACTTAAATAACAGATATTTATTTCACACGTTTCTGGAAGCTAGGAAGTCCAAAATCAGGGAGACCAGTTCCCTGTGAGGGCCCTGAAGATGGCTGTCTTCCCTCTGTGTCCTCACATGGCAGTTAGGGGTTCGGAGTGGTGCATAAATGCTCTAGTCTTTCTTCCTCTACTTAAAAGGACATTAATCCCATCAGGAGGCTCTTAACCTTCATGACCTCATCTAAACTTAATTATAGTAATGCATTGCTTAACAGTGAGAATATAATCTGAGAAATATATTTTTAGGCAGTCTCATTTTGCAAACATGAAGGCATATACTTATATAAACCTACATGGTATAGGTCAGTCACTCAACATGGCCGACTAATACAATCAAGAGATTTGGTAAATATGAAATGTTTGATATGAGGTTGCTTTGGGTTTGACATGCCAAACTGTTTTATGAAACATTTTTTAAAAATATTTTTTAGAGGGCTGGGGATGTGGCTCAAGCGGTAACATGCTCACCTGGCATCCGTGGGGCGCTGGGTTCGATCCTCAGCACCACATAAAAATAAAATAAAGATGTTGTGTCCACCGAAAACTGAAAAATAAATATTAAAAAATCTCTCTCTCTCTCTCTCTGCTCTCTCTCTTTTTTTAAAAAAGTATTTTTTAGTTGTAGTTGGACACAATACTTTTATTTATTTATTTTTATGTGGTGCTAAGGACCGAACCCAGGGCCTCACCCATGCTAGACGAGCACTCTATTGCTGAGCCACAACCACAGCCCCTTATGAAACATTTTTATAAGTAAAAGGAATACATCCTAAAATAGTGAAAAAAGTTATCAAGTATTATATACTGTGACTAATTGTGTATGCTATACTTTCATATGACTAGCAACTAAGCAGGTTGGTTTATGTTACATCACCACAAACACATGAGTGTAATATATTGTGCTTGCACATTAGGATGGCTGAGATGTCTCTAGAAAATAGGAATTTTTCAACTCCGTTACAACCACTACTAGATACGTGGTCCTTTGTCTGAAATGTATTTCTGTAGTATATGACTGTACTTTGCAAATACCATTATAATTGAAGATTAGGGCTTTAACAAGTGTATATATATATATATAGGTACCAGGGATTGAATCCAGTGCTTAATTACTGACCAACATCCCAGCCCTTTTTATTTTTTATTTTGAGATGGGGTCTCACAAAGTTGCTTAGGGGCTTGGTAAGTTGCTGAAGCTGGCTTTGAACTTGCAATTCTCCTGCTTCAGCCTCTCAAGCTGCTGGGAATTTAGTTGTGGACCACCATGCCTGGCTGTAACATACTGTTATCACACTTAAATGAAATTAACAGGGCTGGGGATGTGGCTCAAGCGGTAGCGCGCTCGCCTGGCATGCGTGCGGCCCGGGTTCGATCCTCAGCACCACATACCAACAAAGATGTTGTGTCTGCCGAGAACTAAAAAATAAATATTAAAAATATTCTCTCTCTCTCTCTCTCTCTCTCTCTCTCTCTCTCTCCCCCCCCCCCTTCTCTCACTCTCTCTTTAAAAAAATAAATAAATAAATAAATGAAATTAACAGTAATTTCATCACATCATCTGAAACCAGTTGTTTTTATCCCTCCACCCCCTTTTTTCATGATGCTGGGGATTGAACCCAGGACCTTGGGCACTATAGTAAAGTGCTCTACCAGTGAGCCACACCCCCAACCATTCCCATTTTAAATATTTTCACAATTGACTTGTTCTAATCAGAATCTCCATAAGATTCATTTATTTATTAATTAAAATGAATTTATACTCTATTCGAGACAAAGAACAACAGAGTCTAACATCATTGTGTGTAGAATCTATAAGTTTTGTAGTTGAAATAGTTTGGTTTTAGATTGTTTTATAACTTTTGTATATGAAAATATGAAGGGGTCATTTTATTAAATAAACTTTGAATAAATGGCACCCTAATACTATAAATCATATATAGGAAGTGTAGTAAATAATGTAGAATAAATGCATTTAACCTACTTTTTAAGAAAAGGATAAAAAAATATTAGTTTTCATTTAAGGTGATGGAAACTATAGTACTTGCCAGCAACAGTGAAGATTAAAGAAAAGGTTTCAAACTGAATGGACTTTTAGGTACTTTATCTATAATCATGTATATAAAGCTCTTGACCATCTTCCTCCAAAAGATTAAAATTCTTTTAGTTCTAATAAACCTAAAAATTGACTTTGACACGTTAAAGACTTTTTGATCTTTGTTATTTTGAATGCTCTTGAAACATTATTCAGATAACTACATGAGTCATGAAGCAGTATGAACATTTATCATATATATACATATATATTTTATGTATATATATGTATATATTTTTGGAGGGGGGGGATTGCGGATTGAACCACCAGGGGTACTTTACCACTGAGCTACATCCCTAGTCCTTTAAGTTGCTGAGGCTCTTGCTAAATTGCTAAGGCTGGCCTTGAACTTGCAAGTGTGTACCACCACAGTGGACTAACTGACATAGTTTTAAATATCATTAATGGCCAGTTGGGCACACTAAACCCAGTCATTTAGAAGGCTGAGGCAGGAGGATAGCAAGATCAAGGCTTTATCTCAAAATAAAATTTGAAGAAAAAAAAAAAGGCTAGTGATAAAGCTCAGTAGTAAAAGTACCCCTAGGTTCAGTTCCTAGCACTGCAAATACTGCTACTAATGATGATGATGTAAATAAAATTATATCAGTTGATATAAAAGATTTAACAGAAATCCCACTACTTTTTCCTTGAAGATGCATTTATTTAAACTTATACAAGCTTCACTTATTCCAGTGATAGTAAAATAAACTATTTACTTGGTCATCTTTTTACCGTAATAGAACTACAAACGATTGTCATTTCCCCCTACATTTTAAAAACTATTTTTAGTTGTAGATGGACACAATATCTTCATTTTATTTATTTTTATATGGTGTTGAGGATCCAACCCAGTGCCTCATACATGTGAGGCAACCACTCTATCACTGAGCCACAACCCCAGCACCTCCCTACATCTTAAATACAACTCAAGCTTAAGTAAGTATAAGTATTTATACTTACCTCTGTTGCAGACATTGTCTGCAACAGAAGTATTTAGTGGGTTGCAATTGGAAGAGAAGGGTCAGAATGAATTGGGGAGTGTATTTTCTCTGTCCAGCAGGAGTCAGTGGGGTTCTTATTATCATTAAGACTACAAACTAGGATGGTGTGGGAAGGAGGGCTTAAGCAAATGACAGCTCTGGGGGGCAGGCAGGGTTGGAATTCCTAGGTCCATTTCTCCTTAGTCCACTAAATTGAGAGGCAGATAATTATTTTATTTTTTTAAAAAGGGATGGGTCTATTTGAAGTCAAGCAGGCAAGTTATTATAAAAAGTGTATACTGTCTCTTACTGAAACATCCTAGATTCAGTGCTAGCTTTTCCTACAATGACTGTGTGGCAGAGAATACCCCACTAAACTATCATGTAAAAATAGTACCAAGTCAGTGCCTTTTTTTTAAAATCATGCCAGGTGTGGTGGCACAAGTGTGTAATTCCAGCAACTTGTAAGGCTGAGGCAGGAGGATCACAAGTTTGAGGCCCCCAGCCTCAGGAACTCAGTGAGATCCTGCTCAAAATAAATTTAAAAAAAAATTTTTAAAGGGCTGGGGATGTGACTCAATGGTAAAGAGCCTCTGAGTTAAATCCCCAGCATCAAAAATAAATAAATAAATAAATAGATAGATAAATTGCACAGTGTGAGATAAAGCACTTAGTACGCTAACCCACTTGTTTTAATCCTTATCTATGTACGTATTACTATACATAATATCAGAGTCAAGTTGTATTCATTTCTTACCTATCTTTCCACATGGATCTGCTCTAATAATAAAATGAATAACATTAATATATTTTAGAAGAGGTATAAAATAAGGTAGTAAACATATTAGCAAATAACATCAAAAGTTGTCTAGATATTGACTTTATTGCTCTTATACCCGGAACCTCCTGATCTAGAAAAGGGCTGTTTAAGGCCAGTCTGGAAAACTTAGACCCTGTCTCAAAATAAAAAGGGCTGGGGATGTAGTTCAGTGGTAGAATACCCCTAGGTTCAAACCCCAATACAAAAAAAAAAAAAAAAAGAAGAAGTCACATTTTTCATTACTTAAGTGAGAAACTTGAAGTGCCAGATGAGCTGTTGCTGAAGATGACGCAGATAGTTGGGAGTAGAATGCAGATTGGTCTGATGTTTTTGAGGGTTGTTTTGTTTTGTTTTGTTTTTTAATTGTGGTAAGTTATACATAAAATTTACCATCATAGATCTATGAATATAATACAGTATAGAGCACTTGCATAGCATTCACAATCCTGAATTCCACTGCAACTTTGCCAAAAAATTGTCATCTTTTTTTATTTCTAAACTTTTTTAAATTTTTTAAATGTATTATTTTTTTATTTGTAAAATTACCATCTTAACCATTTTAAATGTATAGTTCAGTAGTGTTAAGTGCATTCACATTGTGCAGCCAATCTCCAGAAACTTTTTTTTAAAAAAATATTTTTAGCTGTGGATGGACACAGTACCTTTATTTATTTTTATGTAGTGCTGAGGATCAAACCCAGTGGCTCATATGTGCAAGGCAAGCACTCCACCACTGAGATACAACCTCAGCCCCAGAAACTTTTCTTTTTGGCTTTGTGCTGGGGATTGAATACAGGGCTTCCACATGCCAATACTCCTGAACTGTGTCATCCATTATGCCCAAAAGGTTGCTTTTTAAAAAATATTTATTTTTTAGTTGTAGTTGTCAATACTTTTATTTTATTTATTTTTATGTGGTGCTGAGGATTAAACCCAGGGCCTCACATGTGCTAGGTGAGCGCTTTACCACTGAGCCACAACCCTAGCCCCCCAAAAGGTTGCTTTTTAAGAAGGATATTAAGCCAGGTATGGTGGCACATGCCTATCATCACAGTGACTTTGGAGGCTGAAGGAGGAGGATCACAACTTCAAGGCCAGCCTTAGTACTTTAGCAAAGCCCTAAAATAACCTAGCAGTAAAAATTGAAAAGGGCTGGGTATGTTGCTGAGTAGTAAAGCAACCTTAGGTTCAATCCCCAGTACTCCCCACCAAAACAAACAAACAACAAAAAAAAGGATATTAAATCCTTTCCTCTACCCTCTAGTCAGAGAAATCTCTCTGAAGCATAAATGTTTCTCCAGTTTAAAACCCTTCACCAGTTCCCAAGGCCCTCAGGATCAAGTCCAAATTCCTTTACATGGATTGCCAAAGCTTTCATGATCAAGCTATTTCTAACCTTCTGTAGCCTCATCTGATGCTATTTTCTCCTCTGGTTCCTTGCTCATGCTTTACCTGTGAGCGTATAGGCCATGTTCTATTCTGCCCTTGAGCTTGCTTCTGCCATTTCTCTTGCCCAGAACACCATTCTCCCACTGCCCCTGGCCTCCAAGACCTTCTCTTGCTAATCCTTTAGGACCTAGATTAAGTATAATTTCCTCCAGGAGGCTTTCCTTTATGCGTGCATGCATACACGCACATGCGCACACACCCTTCCTGTGCTCTTCATAACACATTGTAATTACCTTTGTTATCATGGCAAATTGTAATTTCCTGTTTACTTGTGTTCCTGACTGATCTATTAACTTGGGGGGATCTGAAATCTGTATATTTGTTAATTGTATCTCTAGTGCCTAGAAGCTAATTAAGTGTTCAGTAAGTATTTGTTGAATAAAATTTAACTAATATGTTTTCAAACATGTTTTCAAAAGTGTTTCACAGGATGTTAGAAGGGATGTCATGAAAAAGAAGCTCCCTTAAATAAGGAATTGTGTTGTATATTTCCAAGATGGGTCATATACTATTCTGTACTATACTGCACTTGATGACAGTGGTTCTCAAATGCCGTTTTGCCTAACCCCAAGAATTGTAGACCCAGTGATTGGAGCCCAGGAATCTGTTATTTAAAAATGCCCCAGGGGCTGGGCACAGTGGCACACACCTGTAATCCCTGCAGCTCAGGAGGTTGAGGCAAGAGGATTGTGGGTCCAAAGTCAGCCTCAGCAATTTAGTGAGGCCCTAAGCAACTTAGTAAGACCCTGTCATAATAAAAAAGAAAATGGATTAGGGGTGTGGCTCAGTGGTTAGGTACCCCTGAGTTCAATCCTCAGTACAATCAATCAATCAATCAATCCATCAATCAATAAATAAATTTCAAAAATGCCTCAGGGACTGGGTATGTGGCTCAATGGTAGAATACTTGTCTAGCATGCACAGGCCCTGGGTTGATTTCCAGCACCACAAAAAAGAAAAAAGCCCCAAGTAATTCTCATTTGAGGTCAGATTTGGAAACCATTTGTATACAGTGATTAAAAGATAGTTAAAATATGTAATGCATTTGGAATACTGCCTAGTGCATAGTATTTATGCTCTATTACTGTTGACTGCTGCTGCTGCTGTTATAATTATATATAACCACAAAATGCATTTTTGTGGCATATTTGTTAGCATTTCACAAAACCTATTTTGAGAAAAGCTAAATTAAGCAAGTACTTCACTTATGCTGATGACACCCAGATCTCAGTGTGGCCCTGATTTCAAGATTTGACTCTCTGCTGGGCATGGTGGTGCATGCCCATAATTACAGCATCTCTGGAGGCTGAGGCAGGAAGACTGCAAGTTTAATGCTAGCCTCAGCAAATTAGCAAGGCCCAAAGAAACTTAGCGAAACCCTGTCTCAAAATAAAAACCAAAGTGCTGGGGAATATGGCTCAGTGGTTTAGTACCCCTGGGTTCAATCCCCAGTACCACACACACACACAAAGTTTTTGACTCTTTATTTGTACTATAAACACCTCAAAAATATCAGAAAATCCCAAACTCATGCCTCTTTTTTTGTGTTTTTCTCATACTGGAGGTCGAACCTAGGGATACTCTATGACTGATTTCCATGCCTCACCCTTTTTTATTTTATTTTGAGACAGGATCTCAGTAAACTGCCAAGGCTGGCTTAGGCTGGCTTCAAACTTGAGGTCCTCCTGCCTCAACCTATGGAGTAGTTGGAATTCCCACTGCAGAAGTGTCCCTCAAATCCATTCCTTTCTGGGATGCTATGGCCTTATCACATGCTGCTACTTTTACCTAACTCTTTCTTTTCTGCATGGCAAATTGCTGCCCATGCATAAATGGCATTCCTCTGCTCTCCCCCCCCGCCCCGCCTCCCATGAATCCTGTGCCAACTAGCCTGAATAGAACTTGTTCATCTTGTCCCAGAGCACTTTGTACGTAACTTTATTATAGCACTTATCACTTTGTACTTTGTGCTTACCTCTATAGCTCATCTCACATCCTCTCCCACTAGCATGCAAGCTATTTAAGAACACATGCCGTGTGTGAGTCATCCTGATATCTCTCAGCACTTGCGTGTCTAGAACACAGTAGGGGTTCAATAAATGTTCACTGAATTTAAACAACTAAGAAAGTCTAAAATTTGTATATTTATTTTCTCTTTGTGCAGACATTAGTACTGAAGAGCAGCTAAGGCGCCTGCAAGAGGAGAAGCTTTGCAAAATCTGTATGGATAGAAATATTGCTGTAGTTTTTATTCCTTGCGGACATCTGGTCACTTGTAAACAGTGTGCTGAAGCTGTTGACAAATGTCCCATGTGCTACACAGTCATTACTTTCAAGCAAAAGATTTTTATGTCTTAATCTAACTCCGAAGTGGGCATGTTATGTTCTTCTTATTACCCTGATTGAATATGTGATGTGAAGGAACTTTAGGTAATCAGCATTGAATTCCATTAGCATCTGCTTACCAAGTAAGAAAAAATGTTAACAGCAGTGTTTTAGTTGGCAACCTAAACTTTGAATATCTGGATCTTTCAGGTTATTAGCTGTATGATTTGTCCAGTTTTTTTAAATTGTTATTCAATTGAAACCCTAGACTAAGGAGCATTATATTAAAACTTATCACAATGTATATTTGTAGTACACTGACTTAGTTTCTAAGTGTAAGTGAATTAATCATCCAAATTTTTCATTCTTTTCAGATAGGCTTAACAAATGGAGCATTCTGTATAAATGTGGAGATTAGAGTTAATCTCCCCAATCACATAATTTGTTTTGTGTGAAAAAGGAATGAGCTGTTCCACACTGGTGGAAAGATAGAGATTATATTTAGATGTTTGTCTTTGTGTTTTAGGATTCTGTCCATTTTCTTTTAAAATTATAACATTTATGTGAATGTTTTTTTTTAAAAAGTGGTTTTGCCATTTCTAAAAGGTTGTTTAATAACAGAATACCATCTAACCAACATGTACTGACATGGAAAGATGTCAAAGATATATTAAGTATAAAATGCACATGGCAAAACACTATGTATAGTCTGAGCCAAATCAAGGTGTGCATATTTTGTATCTGTACAGAACAAAAGATTTGGAAAGATGTACCAAACTGTTAAATGTGTTTTTTTCTTGAGGGGTGGGGGGTTGGGTCCGAAAGGGGTTTTTAGGGGCCCTTCACTTTCTATTTTTTTTTTCATTTTGTTCTGTTTGAATTTTTATAAGTATGTATTACTTTTGTAATCAGAATTTTTAGAAAGTATTTTACTGATTTAAAGGCTTAGGCATGTTCAAACGCCTGCAAAACTACTTATCACTCAGCTTTAGTTTTTCTAATCCAAGAAGGCGGAGCAGTTAACCATTTTGGTGCCAATGTGAAATTTAAATGTTTTTATGTTTTACCTGCCTTGTGGATGAAAAATATTTCTGAGTGGTAGTTTTCTGACAGGCAGACCATGTCTTCTTATCTTGTTTCAAAATAAATATTTCTGATTTTGTAAAATGAAATATAAAATATGTCTCAGATCTTCCAATTAATTAGTAAGGATTCATCCTTAATCCTTGCTAGTTTAAGCCTGCCTAAGTCACTTTACTAAAAGATTCTTTGTTAACCCAGTATTTTAAACATCTGTCAGCTTTTGTAGGTAAAGGTAGAAGCATGTTTGTACACTGCTTGTAGTTATAGTGACAGCTTTCCATGTTGAGGTTTCCATATCATCTTGTATCTTAAAGTTTCATGTGAGTTTTTACTGTTAGGATGATTAAGATGTATATAGGACAAAATGTTAGTCTTTACCTAATTTTTTTTGTTTTCTTGACTAGTAATAGTAGTAAATGTTTCTTCTTAAAAAATGTTCTTGAAATTCTAACTCTTGGAAATTATAAAATACTGACAAGAGAAGAATAGTTGTTTAAAAATATTTTTAAGAACTTGAATAAGAGTCGGTACAGGTGAAAAATGAAAGTTTTAAAAATCTTCATAGAACACCCAGGATTTACATTATAAGATGATCATGACAGACCTATTATAGAGGCAAGTGAGGCATTTTACTGCAGAGATTAGTTTGAGAGTAAAACTATTAAAGATATATATTTTCATTGTATTTTCTAAGAGAAAGTATTGTTATAGTCTCCAAACCTCTGTTCACTACTATGTTAAGTGATATTCATTTAAAGCATTGAAAATTAAAATAAGAACTTTAAAAATTAAGTAATGACTGCCCTATTTCTGTTTTATTATATAAATTCTCAGTTATTCTCCTTTGTACTATCTTCTACTTAGGTTTGATGATATAGTCATTAAGTTAAATTAGATCTGTATAGTCTAAGCTTTGAATTTAAATGTACATTTAAGGCATTCAACAGGGGAGAAAAGTGTTAAAGTTTTTAAAACATGTTTTCCAGGACACTTAAGCTCCAATTCATGTAGGTAGCTCAATCTAGATGTTAGCCAAGGACTAAATTGTTTTAACATAAGGCTTTTCCTGTTCTAGGAGCCTCAGTTCATTATAACTCTGCTTTTAAAATTTGTGTTTAGAGTTAAGCAAGACCTCTTATTTTTTTTCCTCTCTCTCCATGAGTTGTGAAATTTAATGCATGAAGCTGAGGTGGCTAACAAGTTTATTTTAAGAATTGTTTAGAAATGCTGTTCCTTCAGGTTCTTAAAATCACTCAGCACTCCAGCTTCTAATCAAATTTTTGGAGACTTACCAGAGTTTGTCTCTATCCGCATCACAAAAAAGCACTGGATCCTTTCCATCTAATTGTACAAAAACTTGTCACTTGCAAGGTCAAAAATACAACCAGATCTAAATATCCCCCCCCCCCCGACACACACACACAGTTCTCAGTATCTACATGTAGATGTTTGTTTTCTGTGCAACATATACTCTGAGATTTTTCAAGTCACCACCTATTTTACTACATTTTAGTCATGTGAAGGTTGAAGTTATTTGTAATAAATAGGCATCTTCATTTGTAATAATTTAGTGTGCTGATCAAAAACTTGGCTTAATTTCTAAGAAATGAGTTTAACATTTGTAAAATAAATTCCAGTTTATTAATTAGTGGCTTTATATTACCTTTCCTGCTAGATTTGTTTTTTTCCCCCTCCCTTTGGTTAGGGACTGAGATTGGGTGGGGTGAGTGTAGTGAGTGTATATGATATTATTTGGCCATGTGTATTTTGATATATTTTGTTGTTTTTGTTGTTATTTAAATTTTAATAGTTTTTTTTTCTGTTTCCATTTTAGTGGATAAAATATGTGTTTTGAACCCTCTGAAAGGAAACTATACCACCCCAGCATTAGTTGTATACATTGTTCCCTTTAGATCCAAATTATGGTTTTATTTCTGATTTCTTACATGTCAAATGAGAAGGGGGTAGAATGAGGGTGGAATAAATTGGATAAGTTGTGTCCTTGCCATTTGAATGGGAAGGAATTGTTTGGTAGATATAGCTCTTTTTAGTCAAATTGGTCTTTTTTTTTTTTTAAGGTAGCCATTTCTTCATCTATAAAATGAGAATAATACCTATCTTCTAAGGTCATGAGAGTTCAAGGAGACCATATCTGTAAAAGCATCTGCTACATTAATTCCTGTCCTAACACCCTTTTACCCCTCTGCAGGTTTGCCCTGAATAAGATATTTGAACTAAAATTTAGAAAAAAACTTCAGTAACTGTTTCTTGTCCTTTTTTTGTTTCTCATAATGTAGATGTAAACTGAAATAATAGGTCAAACCATTTAAATATCTAAATTATTTTAAAGTATTTTGAAAAAAAATATTAAATTCAGTTGAGCTTTTCTAGTAGAAACAATTGACTTATTCTCACCCTAATAATCCATTTCAATTTGAACCTTATACGCTTAACACAATGTAGATTTCTTTCTTGGTATAATAAATTCATAATGTCAGGGTTGGAAGTGATTTTAGAGAGGTCCCCCTCACTTTGCAGGTGAAGCAACTGAGACTCAGAGGAGAGGTAATTTGTTCAAAGCTACATAGTTAATCAGTGGCAGAGCCCTGACTGGGACATAGTTTGAAGGTGAGAAAATTCACCAAAGCTACTTGTCCTGGGATGGGAGGTCTCAAATGTTTATTTTTCAAACTATTCTTTCTGCTATGCCCTAATTTTCACTAAATGTTAATTGACACTTTATAACTGATACATAGGACAATCTTAAATATATATGTCTTCAAATTAGACAATACTACATTAATGTTTGGATGGTAAAATTGTATGTTGAAGCCTGACGTTTGCAGATATGCATACAGATTTTTGGCATTTACTACGTTTATTATGTATCGTTAATGTAACATTTAAAATTAATGTACAAGTATATTTTGCCATTTTGTCTGTCCTTAGTAACAAATTTGCATTTTTGATTTGATGTAACAAAGGCTTTGATATAATTTCTGTTAGATTCTGCATTTTTTATTACTGTTATACTTAACCTCAAGAATGACTGATTCATATTGTATTAGTATTGTGAATAATCATGTGAAATGTTTTGAGACAGAGTACTATATTTGTGAATATAATTTTATGGCTTTTTTTTTTTCACTTAGTAGGAACCTTTCCATCAGTATGGAAAACTAAGAAAATTGCTTTTTGCTGTATAATCTGGCATTTGTTGTAGATTAAAGCTTATTTTTCTGTGAATAAAACTTATTCAATAAAGTACTATTCTTTAAAATGATAATTACTTTGCATTTGTTGTACTGTCTTAGAAAAAAAATAAAATAAGCTGGGCATGGTGGCTCACGCCATGAGGCTGAGGCAGGAGGATCGAGAGTTCAAAGCCAGTCTTAGCAACTTATTGAGATCCTAAGCAATTTAGCAAGATCCTGTCTCAAAATAAAACATAAAAATGGCTGGGAGTGTGGCTCAGTGGTAAATCACCTCTAGGTTCAATCCCTGGTACTACCAAAAAAAGAAGAAAGAAAGAAAGAAAAGAAAATGGCCCTCTCACCTTTGCTAAAGTGGGTGCTAGAGTGTAGCTTATTGGTAGAATGTACACCTGGCATGTGTGAGGCACTGGGTTCAATCCCCAACACCAAAACAAAAAAAAGATCTATAAAAATAAGAGCAATATTTAGCACCCCTCTCCATACAAAGATTAGTCTGGTTATTGCAAGAGGTAGGATAGTCACTATAACAAAGCTCCAACAAAGTGAATAGCAATGAACCTAAAAAATAATTACTCTTTTGAAGCATTGAGCAAAGAAGGATTTTTTGTGAGTTTGAAGAAGTATATGCCCTGAGAGTTTCAGAAGCTGGGAGCAATCGGATGGGATAAAGAGCAAGGGAATAAAGGATTCTTTGGCAGAGAGAAATTTAGAAGTAGATATTTCAAGTGGCTATTCCTCTACCCCTTCCTGCCCACAATGGAGGTTCCTAAATTAAGAGGTATATTTCAGGCTTCATCTATGTAGGGACTGGTTATCTAATCTTTGACAGTGCTATCACTGTATCTGAGATAAACCAGAACTTTGTTGAGTCCAGTTTTTTTTCTTACACATCAGCTACATTTCTTTCTCTTTTGGGGAGGAAGCGGGTGCTGGGGGATCAAACCCAGAAGTGCTCTACCTCTGAACTACATCCCCAGGCATTTTTATTTTTGAGATAGTTCTCACTAAGTTGCCCAGGCAGATTTCAAACTTGTAATCCTCCCACCTTAGCTTGTAGTCACTGTTACTGGACACATTTTCAATTAATATTGAAGATACAAATTTTCTTTTTCCTTTTTTCCCCCCGGTACTGGAGATTGAACCCAGGGACACTCTACAATGAGCTACATCTCCAGCCTTTTTTTTTTTTTTAAAGAGAGAGTGAGAGAGGAGAGAGAGGGAGAATTTTTAATATTTATTTTTTAGTTCTCGGCAGACACAACATCTTTGTTGGTATGTGGTGCTGAGGATCGAACCCGGGTCGCACGCATGCCAGGCGAGCGCGCTACCGCTTGAGCCACATCCCCAGCCCCTCCAGCCTTTTTAATTAATTAATTTATTTCCGAGACACGGTCTTGCTAAATTGCTGACGCTGGCCTCAAATTCGTGATCCTCCTGTCTCAGCTTTCCTAGTTACTGAGATTACAGGCATGAGCCATCATGCCTGGCAGAAGATGTGAATTTTCAAAGCTATGACAGATATTTTCAAACTTATACAAAAGTAGAAAGTAAAATGAACCTATGGTACTCATCTGTCAACTTCAATAATTATCAACATTTTGTTAGCCTTGTTTCATCTAGGCCTCCCCCAACCCCTGAATATGCTAAAGTATCCATTCATTTCTCATATAATTACCTCTTTAACTATCTCTAACAGAAAAGAAAAAATTTCACGTAATTGTGTCAATTTTAACTCACTCTGTGTGTGTGTGTGTGTGTGTGTGTGTGTGTGTGTGTGTGTTACTGGGGATTGAGCCCAGAGATGCTTTTACCACTGAGCTACATCCCCAGCACTTTTTATTTTTTTTAAATTTTGAGACAGGGTCTTGATAAATTGCTTAGGACCTTGCTAAGGTGGTGAGGATGGCCTCAAACTTCTGATCCTCCTACCTCAGCCTCCTGAATCATTGAGATTACAGGCATGCACCACTGACCCTGACTTGACTCACCACTCACAACTATTATTGCTGAATTTTAATGGACATTTAAACCATCAAAATCAACTTTAAGGTGGGCATGGTAGTGCATGCCTATAATTCCAGTGACTAGGGAGGCTGAGGAAGTAGGATTCCAGGCAGCCTCAGCAATTCAGCAAGACCCTTAGCAACCTAGCAAGACACTGTTTAAAAATAAAAAGGGTGGTCTGGGGATATAGATCAGTGATAGAGCAGTTGCCT